CCTGAGTGGTGGTAGCGTAACATACACAAATTGGTCGTGAAAGCTACGGAAGTTTAGGAATGAGGACGACTACGATAAGGGGGAAGGAATCTTTGGACAACCTCAGTTAAATATAGGCTTACAATTGCGCCATTCATGTTGTACAACTGTGTAGTTAAGGAGGTTGAGGTGGGGGCTACACTATGTGGCTAGTGTACAAGGCAGACAGGATGCACACATCCTGTATGGATGATCCGTCTACCAATCACTTCGAGGATATGGAGCGTGATCGCTTGGAGGCTGCCCAGCCATCACAAGATGGTAACTCTGAAGATCGCATCCTTACGACGAGTATCGTGGTTCCCTCAATATCTCGTCACCTATGACACCCACGCAGAGGCCACAGCTAGAATGCCCTCATGACTGTTCACCCAACCGTATTGTTTCCCGAGCAATCATATACGAACAGCAATTCTCACCGGCTTACAAAGACTAGAACTAAAGTACGCGTATTCATGATGGAGACTGCGGTATTTCCATGAAGTCACGAGGTTCTGCATGATCATTGGCATGAATAACTAATCGTGTGGTGTTTGGATCAGAATGCAGTCGGAGGTGATCGAAAAAGGAGACGGCGAAGTCGTGATGTCTGAGAGTAACGTGAAATTCATTATCGCATCTAACAGCCGGAATAACATCCATCACAAACGTCTTGCCTCAAGCTGCCGTCTAGCGCGAAAACTTTCATCTTAAGACTGCCCGACAGGTACTGAAGAGCTTCACTGGGATCAATACGGCCCTTTAGAATGCATACCACGCGGAAACGAGGTACCGAGAATCTGACTCGCATTTTCGACTCGTTTTTGTCTAATTGTTGTTACCGGTATGACTGAGCTCTCTGATACACTAGCCCGGAGTCGTTAGTCATCTCGAGTAAATAGGTCATGTTGGAGCTTTTGAAGATTATACCTGGGTAGATCGATCGGACCCAGAGATGGGCCACACCAGTCTTCCGGTACCGGCATCCGGTATCGAGTTATTCAGTCTAGTGGGGATGTCCTCGCAGCCACCTGTAGGTCACCGAATGGAAGTTGGTGATTACGTAGGGCTTACAATGGGGGGCAAAGGGGAGCTCGAGATCTCCTCGGGCGTATAAAGCAACAGAGGTGAAATACGACTTGAGGTTCACCATATCCTCCAGAGCCGTTTCGAACTCAGGGCAGTCAACGACATGCCGGCTGGTGTGTTGTGGTGATGATGAAGAACAACCTCCCATGGCTGACGAAAAGCAAAATGTGCTAATAAAATGTCGTTGAGGAATTAAAAGTCTACTCGAGTTAGCAAGATGTGTATACTCGTTCAACAGTTCTCCATTACAATCAGGTTGACATCGTAATGCTCTCTCGTGCGGCAGCATGTTCGAGGAGGCCCATGATGGCCTCTATGGTGACACGTCGTTGGAAGTACACCCCAAGCTTTGAAAGAGGTCTCAACCCAGAGTTGACCTCGGGGGACTACGGTGACATGCCCAAGCCTCAACCGCTTATCGACTTCTTCACTCAAGTAAGAGCCCTTACCTAATTCGTATCTTCTGTGGTCAACCTCATGATTCTCCTGGTGTTTTGTCCTCAGAATCGCAACCCATGGTTCGGATTTGCCATGTTCTGTGGCTTCAACTTCTTATGGTGGGCTTTCTTCGGAGCCTGGGTAAGCTCAACATCACTCAACGCACAGCGAAGGATTCTCCCTGCACCCTCCCCCCTCAGCAAATCCGTCCCCTGTGGGCATCTCAGAGGAAGAGTCTGGCGGAGGCTGATCGTCTCTACGGCCCCACTAAATATGGAGTTGGCAAGAAGTACGCGGCCCTTCCCTCAGAAGTGCCCGTATTGGTCCCAACAGGTACATCAACTAGTCGCTCATGGTCACTACCATTACACTGGCAGCGAGAGCTGTTAGACTGTTGGAGATCTTATCTGATCTATGATATTTTTGAGGGTATAATGGTTGCTCCTACTCCTTCAACGTGTTGAGTTCTCGCCAGCAGCATCCTGAGTGCTTCACCTGAGTGTACTTCAATACTTCTATAGACCTCATAAGGACTGCTCCTAGAGGACTCCTTATACGTGATTCCATCATGCCAATCAAGACTAAGTTCACTGAGATGTTCGGTGTAGAGAAGCCCATCATGCAGGGCGGAATGCATCATGTTGGTTTTGCCGTTATGGCCGCAGCCGTCTCCAATGCTGGTGGACTAGGTCAGTCCTCACTATCACTTGTATATTCTCTAAATCTCCTACAACAGGCACTATCACTGCGCTCTCGCTGAGGACACCCGAGCTGTTGAGGGAAGAGATCAGGAAATGCAAGGCGATGACTGAGAAGCCCTTTGCTGTTAACATGACAATTCTGCCAGCGTTAGTAGGTCTACGACCCCCATTATCAATTTAGGGACTCGCCTTAGGTCCCTCCTAACTATCAAGCATTCGCCGATGTGGTGGTGGAAGAGGGCGTGAAGGTTGTCGAGACGGCCGGCAGGAATCCCGCGGAGTTTATTGAGGTTTTCAAGAAGCACGATGTTAAGGTGACTGTTGACATTCAACGTGTGTTGTTGAGGTCTCCCTAGGTCATCCATAAGTGCACCTCTATAAAGCATGCCATGACCGCTGCTAGGGCTGGAGCTGATATGATATCCATGGACGGCTTTGAGGCTGGTGGTCATCCTGGAGAGGACGATGTGCGCGAGGAGTGGTATGTTAAGTTGATGGTTCACTCAGGTTACCAATTGGACTCTGTATCCTCTATCGCTCCGAAAGTTGCCGATACCGTTCATAGCATCGGGAGCATGCGGCACTGCTGAGCACCTAGTGGCCGCAATGGCCATGGGGGCACAGGGCATGAACATGGGCACTAGGTAGGGGTGCTCTTGCCTTATTATCGTCAGAAGTCACATTAGGTTTATGGCCACTAAGGAGGCTCCGATTCAGCAAGGGATTAAAGATGCCCTTGTGAATGGTGATGAGAAAAGTACAACTCTCGTTATGCGAAGTTTGAGAAACACGGAGAGGGTGTACGCCAACAACACATCGCGGAAAGTAGGCGTCCTTATATAGGCGGCCATCGATATATGAGCTTTGATGAGGTGCAAAACATAGAGAAGGAGAAGCCGGGTGATATCAAGGCTATTCTCCCTTACATCAAGGGTGACAACTATAAGAAGAGTTTTCATGAGACTGGTGATTCCACTGATAGCGTCTGGAGTTGTGGCCAAATCATCGGCCTCATCGACGGAGTGAGATTACTCCTGGCCATCTGTGCTTGTGAATATGACCTCTCTAGGTGCCTTCGTGCCAAGAGCTGTTGGACACTATCGTCTCAGATGCGGAGGCAATCATTAGGGACAGACTGAGTGCCCGAGTAACGTCAATTTGGGTTTGCATGATATGAACGAATATTGTTTTAGGTGATTCCGTCCTCCAAGTTGTAAACATTCTCATCATCGATTTGTTCCGCGTGTTAGCTGACATTTATAGTTTCCATGCTGCGATATTTATTCCACCAGAAGTGTTTCGTTGACGAGTAATCTCGAACGAGGGAGGCAAATTCGATCCCTACAAGCCCTGTCGGCTGAACTCGTTTGTTACTTCGAGGAGAACTAGGGAAAAATTGTTCTGAAAGCGAAAAGGAATGGCTTCTTTTTGATTGACAAAACGATTCTTCTCGTGATCGCAACGAGTGAGAGAACATCTGAAGCACTCGAGGGGATGTTATCTCCGAGGGAAACGGTGAAAATGTAGAAGTTTTTGCAAGCGCTGTGCTATACTTCGTGTGTAAAATGGGAATACTGTGGCATACCGCAGCGAACTCAACGGAACCAGATGGGAAACGCTGAACGGAAACTTTTTGAGCATGATCATCATGGATTATCATCATTCGAGCCGTGCTGCTTCGTCACACTTTGAGGGTTCTTGAAGTATCTCTTGTTGACGCCCATCATATCGACTTCCCAAGACACCTGCTCTCGATGCCGCATTTGATAGCAGTTATGTGATAGAACGTAATTAAGGAAGTTCATCTACAAAGAGCAATACGACTACACATAACAACCACGACGCCCTACGTCGGCTTCGCTGAAATATCCCTCACATCCAGCATCAACCTCATCCCAGAGAGGCTGTCGCTGCTGCTGCTGACCGTGGCTCTCCAATGCATTAAGGGTGGCAATGAGCGCTAACGACGCCTGAGGGAATTCTGGTAGAGGGGGAGGGTCCGTCCCTGCCTACTTTCCATCTATCGGTCTTCTTGAGGTGATCGATGTCATTAAGACATTGTCTATGCCATAACGGTAGAGTATGATATCGAGTCCGACGTGCAATCTGAGTGGTCCACCAGAGGGCCGGTACGGCTCCACTGACCGCAGCTGATGAGAGTGACAGTATCACCGACCACCCCGGACGGCGGCCTTACACGAGGATGCCTTCACGGCCTTATTGACTTCCTTCTCTACTGCCACAACCAGAGAAGTATCGCTGGGAATTCGCAAAAGCTCTAAGCCCATGGAAAGCCGTACAAGATCGACCTAAGGGAAGTAGTGGGGGGGGAGTCCGAAGTGAGTGTGGTCCGACAGGACCTACCACTTTCACTTGGCGGTCGAGTTGGTAGTTGTCGTGACGCGGCTGTGCTGATATCTCGAGACTGCGAGACACGTCGAGTTCCGATACGCTCCTCCTGACGGCTATAGACAACTGAACAACATCACTATCACTAGCAACTAGAAGTTCTGCTACTTCGACGGTCTTGTCTGGCCACTGCTGGTGGGGATACTCTTGCGGTATTAGTTGAAGTCTTGAGAGAACACCAAGGGAGAATATCTGAGTGTATGTACACTAAAATGAGTCCAGGAGAAGGGCGTTACCGTGTTGGCTTTCATCCTGACATCATCGTCCCTCACCAAATCATACAGGCACCATCGGGCGAGCTCTTTCAGGTCTTCACTCGTTATGGTTGTCAGCACCGCTGGAGGTAACTCTGGCTGTAAAGCCAGCAATGCTATGGTGTATCTGCAGGACGGGTCCACGAGACGCAGTCAGTGTTGGACCCCACAACAAGCGCCGCTTTCCATGAGCAGACAGAGAGGGACGGGTCTCCGACTGAGGACGTATTGAAGACCTCCTCCTCCCTTTGACGGTTGATGCCTTCGTAGGGCTGACCGAACAGCTAAGGGCCATCTGAATATCAAATTCAACACTGCAGACGACGAGTGGTCAGCCATACTGGGAGGAGCGAGACGTAAAGACCGGCAGCCGCTCGTTGAGCCTTTTGGTACTTCCCCTCGGGGTCACTGCCAAATGACGTCATATTCAGCGTATCTCGGACCTGAGTCGTGATGGAGCTGAGCTCCGTCAAAGACGACGACCGCCCACGTGTATTCCAATTATGACCAATGCATGGCAGGCCGCAACACAAATGTCAGGGGTGAAAGCTGACAATAACGAATTCAGACTCAAGTCCAGGGCGGCGCTCACTTTCCCGTGGTCTGGATAGCGCAGTCGAGGATGAGCCGAGAGCGTTGCCATTAGCAGTATAACTCCGTGCCCTGCTATGGAGGTCCAGGAGCCTTTCGGCAAATTTCGTAAGAAAAATATGGTACCTGACGGGACCTGCTGGGAACTCTACCATCATCAGTGGAATTTCACCTCTTCACTTGAGCGTTGCACTGTGAATGAGTAGCCATGATATCGAGGACCTCCACGAGGTCCCATACCGTCATTCGAGACAAAAGCGGCCGCAAGTCCTCCTCAGGAGCGTCAGTATTGCCTGCGTCGTCAGTACTCACCTGGTAGAAAAACGATGCAGTTACTCACAGTTTTAGTTAGGCCTGACCATGAAGCCTTCGAGGGTTCGAGTCCATGCCACTTTAGAGGGGTCGTGATTTCTGCAGCAACGCACTCGTCACGGTTCGTTCAAGGGGGATCCTCACCTCGCCGTCATACTCTTGATTTTGTTCAGGAGGCGACTTATGAGTTCTCTATTGGTTACGACTGTTGTATCTTCCACAGTTGGGTTCAGTTGCTCTGAGCCGGCTTTCCGTGCCATAGAAGCGGCGCTTCGGTGAAGCAGGGGACGTCCTGTCCATCTCAAAAGTCCTCGAGCAGTGGTCATACGACGGGAAACTCTAACAACCCGGTAGTTTGTTGACACTGCTAAGTTAGCAGTGGAAAGTCAGCGACTACACGTAACTGCCGCTTTCTGTATGGCAAGGAGTCGGGTCGAAGACTAAACGGTGCGACTGGAGTCCCCAAGGAGCTGCGTGCATCATGTTCGGCTACACAGCTGATTGTTGAGACCTGTTCGATCAGTAGTCTCCACTTCCTGTGAGATTCAGACTACACCAATTTCAACATCCGTGGTTTTGAGCCATCCTTGAGCATTGACTGATACGTGTACTAATGTATCCAAATCATCTCAAATACGGAGGAGTTAGGACCTATTGGATGCTATGTTAGTTGCTTACAGGTTCACTCGTAATGAGTTCAATCGGCATCCACTCGTGTGCCGATGTTGTCGACATACGCATGCGTGCTTTGTGCTTGCGTGCAGGGCCTATTTCACAAGCCATCGCAAGGTGCAAAAATGATAATTTACGATTCGTAGAGTGCGTTACGATTTTCGCGCCTTGAAGCAGTAAGGCTCTCTGATAAGGTCACGATACGATTCGGAACGCCAGGGTTAGCTGAAGGACAATGAGGAGCCTTAGTAAGGCTGCCTTACCTTGGGGCACCGACGACTCTAATGTGCACTTCCTCACGTGAGGTGATTCTGTAACGGCATTTTTGGGCCCCTACCTTCCATACGATCATTCAGGATCTTATAGAAGGTAACTCTGTAAGTACCTTATAGCACCTTACGCTCCTTACCTCGGCTTTCTTATTCCTCCGCTCCGCTGAGATTCACTGCCCAATGTGGTTCCTGCGTGTGATGCTCAAGAACACGTTGCCATGTCAAGTGCTTGACGCACCTCTTACTCTCTAGTGGTCTCAATATTGAGTTCAAGTCAAGGTCTTCGGCTGGAACTGGTGTTGAGTTAACACTTGTGACATGTTTCAACCCAATACATGATGTCGTTGAATAATCCAATATCGACGTTCCAAGGAATCGAACCCTAGTTAACCTCCTGAGGACCAGTCACCCGGGTTAACCACTCCACTACATTCTCTTGTAATCTCACAATCTCGCTACGGTTGCCTTTGAAGGCTTAGTATTTTCGTGGTGCGTGACGAAGAATACGTGTAGGACGACGAAATCAAGACAGTTATCTTATCTTCGTCAAACTTTCAGTGCAGTGGAACTCAAACAGCATTCGTATGGAAAGGTGACGCTCTGGATCGAGCCGTCAGTGATTGTTGTGATATCGACTAGAGATGAGTCCACTGCAATGACTACGCGGAGCAGCGGATATTCGCCAGGTGGCAGCTGCCGGCTTGCGCTGGAGATAGCTCTGGGAACCAATCGAGGGTCTAGCTGATATTATCAGCCTGCTTGAGTTTTCACTGAGACCATATCGATAATCACGAATGAGACGAGTCTTTGTTGTACTACGTCAGATGAAGCATCTGGGGACGCCGCGTCCCGGACGCGGGCAACTGGAAAGATGTTATTGGGTGTAGCGATGATAGTTTCACATTCCAACGAATTGCTCGTAAGATATATTTTTCCATGAACTATAATACTTGTATGAAACACAAGCGGTGGACTTCTGGAGTATAAGTCATTCGCGGGGCGAAGATGAGTTGATAGTTCGGAAATAAAGTAAAAAGTGAGTCGCCAGCTCAGCTGGTCCAACATCATCACAACATCTGATGTCAAATCACATACTCATATTATGAGTCATTATTAATAATTTATACGCGGATTGAAAATAGATCACGGAAAGTCTACGGATCTTCGCAGACTTTTCCGGAAAGTCGGGAAAGGTCCGACTGACTCGGGGGTAATTCGGTAATCATTGAGACCAAATCTTGATGAGAGCAATCTTCTACTTTTTAAGTACTTCTCGTACAGCCGCCTCAGCATTGACGCGGCCGAAAGTAAGAAACTTCTCCCCTTTGCTATCTATCACACCTCGCGTGGCCGTATTCTTGATGATATTTCGGATATAAGCTGGGGTCAGTTTGGCATGCTGAGAAGGTTCGAGGCTATAGAGCATTCCAGCTATACCTGCTATGATGCCTGTGGCCCCACAGGTACCTGTACCCTTACTATACGTTCCAGTAGGAGTAGTTCCCAGTATTTGGTAGCCAGGAGCGGCGACGTCAACAGCTGAACCAAAATTGCTCTCGTCGTCCAGCTGCATTCTTGTGCCATTTGTCGCAGCCACACATATAACACCGTCCGAATAGGGTCCGCGGAGGGAACAAGGAAAGTATTCTTCTATGTCCAGATCTAAGTGGTCATTTCCTGCCACCACAACAACTAGCATGCCAGCTGACACTGCTTCGAGAATCTTCTTCAACTCTGATTGATAGTAAGTTTTGGAGCCTTGCCCACACACAATTACCTTCACATCTGGCCTCTTAGAAATGAGGTAGGTGAAAGCATCAGTCATGGCTCTGGAAGACGCCTTGTCGCCAACATAGATAGGCATGACACGGAGATGGTCGGCAATACCCGCGATACCAATTTTGTTATTCCTGATAGCACCGAGAATGCCAGCCATCATAGTTCCATGCGGTCCTCGAGGATGGGTATCGGCATTCTTATCAATAACGTTATAGCCCTCAGTGACGACCCCTTGCAAGTCGGGATGATCGGCTTGCACGCCATCGTCGATAACGGCGATGGTTACAGGTGTCCTCTTGGAAGTAGAGTCCAGGATGTTCCAAGCCTTTGGTACAGAGATGGCCTCCAGATAAGCCTTCTGGTGGGGATAGTATTTATCGTTCGGATCGCCGTTCACTGGGTCAATACCACGGAAATGGTCAGAGCCGACCACTGCAACTACGACGTAGATGAGGCCGTACGGAACGAAATAGAATGTAGCCATAACGAATCTCGTTGATGAACAAGTAAGCGGGGCGATATGACGTGACGTCGCGTGTTGACGTGAAGGTCCTTCCGTGTCACGGAAGAACCTGATTCACGTGACGTGAATCACGTCATCCGGACCCACTGTAACTCACAGTCTGCAAGGATACTCCACTCTCCGCTCCGCTCTTTGTGGTGACTCACTCGGGAACGCCCACTAGGAACACAAGACTCACTAAGGACTGCTGGTACGGTATCAGTCGAGACGGGACTGATGAAGGCGGTAGCAGTGTGCACAGAACTAGAATGCACATGCGTACGCCACAGCTAATATCGATCAGAGACTTATATGTGCGTCGCTCCGCTGGACTCCACTACCCACTACACCCTTCGTGAACGCCGTCAACGTCCATAGCGTGATGGATACATTGCATTTAATTAGCTCACGATAATATTCAAGGGCATCACATACTTATCCTTCTTCTCGTCGCGTTGTTAGTATTGTTGGAAGTTCCTTGCGCGAGCCTTGGAGTTCTGTTTGTGCTGTTGCACAAAGACAAGCACCAGACCAACGTATCTTCGTTGAAACTGCCACAAGATACTCGGCATGAAAGACGAACTAATTAACTACGTACTTCTCTGCTCATTCATCTCATGGCTCTTGCTCTAAACAGGCTCCAGCTTGGAACCCCAAGGCCCGCGCAATAGCACATCACGGGAGTGGGGGGACTTGATGGGACCCGTCAGACGGGTGGTGTTCGCGCACTCCCCGCCGCTCGGCCCGTCCAAGCTCGGCAACGGCTCACTCGGCTCGACTCGCGAGATTTAGGCGAGCCGGGAGTCCCGGCTCGGGACTCGGCAGCACTACTGCCGCAGTAGACAGTAGAGTCTTCAATACTCTAAGAGTGGTCTCGCGTTCTCCTTCAGAGATTGAGTTCTGCCAGCGTGAAGGAAATAACCCTCGGTGTCCTATGTTGAACTTGAGAATGCGACTCTCGGAGATTCTATGTCGAAATTATCAGCTGAATAGTATATCGAGTAAACGTAAAGTGCTGCACCTTAAAGCAGTAAGGCTCTCTGATAAGGTCACGATACGATTCGGAACGCCAGGGTTAGCTGAAGGACAATGAGGAGCCTTAGTAAGGCTGTCTTACCTTGGGGCACCGACGACTCTAACGTGCACTTCCTCACGTGAGGTGATTCTATAACGGCATTTTTGGGCCCCTACCTTCCATACGATCATTCAGGACCTTATAGAAGGTAACTCTGTAAGTATCTTATAGCACCTTACGCTCCTTACCTCGGCTTTCTTATTCCTCCGCTCCACGGAGATTCACTGCCCAATGTGGTTCCTGTGCGGCGGTTCAAACCCGGTGCAATGGTTTTGACTCTATCACCGATTTTTGCTACTTTCTACTCATAGGAAGTACTTCAGACGTATATGTACTCGCCATATTCTGTTGGCTTCTTCTTATGATAGGAAGTAGCACTCTTCCTATCTTGGTGTCTCCTCTCTAGTCGGTTGTGGCCAATACTATTCTGTTCCATTGGGTACTGATGTTAGATAGACTTGCTGTATGCAGCCTCAGCTCTATTTCTATCGGTGAGGGTTGATGATAGTATCCTCAGCAATGTCTTGATCTAGTTACCCTGTCTACCAATAGTTACGGAAAGGGTGTTTTTTGGCAAACTCGTGAGGAATTTTATCGGTGTCCAAGTCGGTGATGAATGAGATCCTTGTGCGACTCTGAAAAATTCATTGATGAATCAGTCAGTGGACTTTCAGTCAGTTATCTGAAACGTGACGGAGTATATGACCGTTTTGCGAGCTCCCGAAGAGGTTCCCTGTCAAACTTTCCTCATAAGCAGTTCAACGAAATCAGCACGAAGTCTCCTAACACTGACAGAGAGGTATGGCACGCATCCTTCCTCCTCGCCGAAGGGTGGTGGCCAGTACAGACCGACTCTATCTGGCGTTTGTATATGGTGCAAACTTGGTCAGTGAGGCATTACATTCTTGGCTGGCTCGCTCTTTCTCTTTTCCTCTGCGAACTCATTATTCCAGACTTGCATCTCCCTCACATGTGAGTGGTCGGAGAGTTTACTCAAAATCAGCTTGATCACCAGCATGCCATGTCTATTGCCCACTACGCACACGAGAGTCGCAATGTACGCAGCATTGTTCATTCTTGCATTTATAGCGGCAATCGGTACTCTCAAAGTGATCCCAGTGAGTCTGTTCTATCAAGAGGATCAATACCCCCACGTCTGTAGGTCTCCATCACTCCGGTTACGTCACATCTCCCTGTACTGCAGTACCCTACCCAACGAGGTGAGTCGATCGAATTAATACACTTTTTCAATCTCAAATTCAGCAAGTGAAAGAACGAACTAGATAGGTGAGATTTGATTATCGTTGAGTGAAAGGAGTTTTTCCACGGAATGAAAGTTCAAATTCGAAATGAGATTTATGAATTCGGAAACAAAAGTTCAAATTCGTCGAACACAAGACTAACTTCGAGCAATGAAAGCTGTTGCTATCGACCACTTCTACAGCCAGGCTTTTATATTAGACCCGGGGATTTCTTCCCACCGAATATCCTAGTACTCGCAGCACCCTATGCCCCATCAGATCCCGAGCCCAAGGAGCCAGAGCTCGGCCCTGTGGTGGCGATGACGAATTCAGGAAATCTAGACTTCGCTATGAACTGGCTCAACTCCCTCCGGAGAGTGGGCGTACGCGACTGGCTTATATTCGCTACTGATGATCGAACGGCTCGGCAACTCCAGAGAAAAGTTGAGTCGGCCGATGTCGAAAAGATACGTCGAATGCCGGAGTCTCTGTATAGTGGGAAGGACGATAAGAAACACCATCAATATAGGAGCGCTGGGTGGACCAAGATGATGCATTCTGTGCCTCGTCTACTCCGCTGGCTTCTTTTTGAAGAACTCAAAGGACCAGTTCTGTACAGCGATACCGATATCGTCTGGCTTGAACAACCGTATTCGGCTTTCCCAGAAAACACTCGAGCGTAGCATTCTGGATGGAGACTATCACGTGGTCGACTTGATGCATGCCAGGTTCGATCTAGTGGCATCAGTTGATGGTAGGGTGTTCGAGAACAACCCCACTGAGTGTCCAGAGGCCGACAGTTTCTGTGGGGGCCTCATGTATTTGCAAAGAAATGACCGAGTTGCCAAGTTGCTCGATAATTGGGATAAGGAGATTGCGAAATCGGTAAAGGACCCCTAGTGTGCTCGAGTTGTTATAGACAATAATCGACTCGATTTTGATCCTATCTGAGCATGTCTCCACAATTTGAAAAACGAGTCTCACATCCCATCTCGCTAAGCTAGCCGGGATCGGGAAAGCCTCACTGCTTGTATAAAATTAATTGCTCTCTTCGGCAGCGGGAAGAACTAATGAAGTTCGTGACTCTTATCGTGATAATATAGGCCCGATACGACTTGATGGGGCAATCCATCATCATCATCATCATTCGTGATTACCGCGTTCTGTGTGTTCGGCAGGCGGTAGCTCGTAAGCCCCAACGACTCATTCTTTCGTGCTATGCGATTCGCATAGGAATAGAAGCGAGATATCATATCATATCAGAGAGTTCGTAACCGATTCCAGTCATCTCGTTCTCTCGTTTGCTGATACTTGCCCCGAACCCTGTGAGTTCAACTCTCCCGTGAATTTCACACGAATACTTTTTGAGGGCGAGCAGCCAATCGCACACATCTCTCCTTCATTTCAGACTGACGGGAAGAATCAACCTGCTTATAACTCTGCCATCTCGAAGACTCGGCAGAGTGCTGGCTTGAAAGTGCACACCCTCGACTGCGCGGCTTACGTGAATGGCTGGCGAGCTTTCTGCCCGGAAATCGCCTCCCGAAAGGAAAAATTCACATGCAAATTCGACTGGAGTAGTTATCAAAATCGGAGCCCAGTGATGATACATGCAACGTACACTGTTGGGAAAGAATTGAAGATTGAGCGATTGAAGAAACTCGGTTTGTGGAACCCGTACACTATGCTGATGTTGTGTTGAACGCAGTTCAGTGAGGAGCAGCTTGCGCGGTACACGCATTTCATACAGCATGGAATGTGATGAGTTCTCTCTCTTATCTTAGCGGTATGGATGATAGAGTTCAGAGGACTGCTAACGTATCGTTACGAGCAGGCGCACGATCATTTCCCCTCCTACAAGTCTGCGGTACTTAGTACCGTAGAATACTGCTTCACCGGGCTAGGGGTTGGCACTTGCATAAGAAGTTCGGGTTTCGGGTTGATCAGGAATGAAGACGCAACGTCAGCTGGGCGCGCGCTACTTTTAGTGACAGTCTGTAAATTCGTGGACTCGTCAGCTTGCCTAATCTTGTCAACCCTCAACGATGAGAATGTTACCGTGATATCGTCCATTTCACCGTGAGGCACTCTGCTCTCTGAAGACTGGTGCTTGAAGCCATAGCAGCAGTCCCGACACGAGGACCACCTCGACTAGCTCAGGACCTTGGTTCGATTCGGTGAGTGCCAGACGGCCAAAGAGCGATCTAAGCGAGTAATGCTGCGGTCGACGAGAAGTCTGACAGCAGATAATTGGACCTAGTTCGCTGTATGAGATTGCTGGTTGTTTGGTATAGAATGTTATGCGATAACTTCCTTTCTCATAGGACCTCACAAACATATTTCAGCACAAGGCTTGGAAGAAAACTTTGTTATTTTGAAGATCTCCTACGTCGGTTTTGAGCGGGTTATGCAAAACTGATGCCAAAATTAAGAAGGGGAGTCCACTGGTGATGGACTCGCGTATGTTGCATGCATGCAGTAGTTTGTCTCGTCGCTCCCCTGTATGCATAGATGCGGCTCGCTGACTGGAGCTTATTGCACTTGAATGATAGATTTCATTTGCACTAATTCCTGGTGCATTGGATTTTCACCCGTTTTACGTGGAGTGGCGTAAAACTCCGTGAAAATCGCGATATTTGCGCCTTGCTATAGTCGTGAAATATGTTTTTCACTAGTGTTTTTCATATCACTAGGGTGAAACTCCATTGTGTTCCTCATATGGTTAACAGTAATTCCACCTCAATGCAAGACCATCTATCAGACCATATGAGCATGCGTGTTCTCAATTCACCTCCCCCTTTATTTACTGGGGAGTGTAATGAGTGGTAAACGTGTATAGCAGCACGCAACAGCTGCAGGACAGCGTGCTGGGCCCACTGAGGTCTTTCACTCGTTCCGTATCGGAAATGTACATAAGTTCCTCCTCATCTGGAGGGGTGAAAACGTACGCGCTCCTATAAGCAGTTGTTTCCTATGAGTAACGATCCTCGCGAATAATGTTTAGTATCATCCAGTGGAAGTTGGGTTAGTACTGTTTCAACGATTACATCAGTAGTTACATCATGTCAATGGCTGGCCATTTATCCACCGACCAAATAGCCGAGGCTAAGGAAGCGTTCTCGATGTTCGATAGAGAATCTGAGGGAGGTAATTGGTGTTAGAGATGGTATTCATCCGTTTTGAGGGATCGTCTTAGCTGACGCAACGTGGAGCATTGTATTCGTAAGCGCAAGATCAATGACTAGGCTTGGCGGGAAGGCATGCGGCAGTCTATGCTAATTCGACATTCAGTCGAGATGGTATTTCATTGATGCGGATTTTCTCTTATTCGCCTTTGATAATGGTGGCGTGAAATCTTCGAGGGGAATTTTTACTCTCGTGAACGGTGGGACCCGATTTGGCACTCATTCTCCTGAGATAACGTTGTGAGTACAATATGGGGAATACTCTTATAGCCGGTGTATTTTCTAGGCATCGGTAGGATTCATAAATCTGTAGTTGAACTCAGTTCAGACGTCCGAGCCTTCGTTTTCTAATGGGGTCCTCAAAAAATTATTTTCGTTCCGATATGCTGCAGCTCCGCAATACCACTCCATTCGCAAATCCTCTTTTAGAGATTCCTGTGGAGGAGCTTTCGACGGTGTTGAGGTCTCTGGGATATAACTGCACAGCTGCGACACTCCAACAGATGATTATTGACGCCGATCCTGAGGAGACCGGAAAGGTCCGTTCGTTACCTTCACTACGCCACGAAATTATGGTCGCTGTTCAGATTTCGGAAAACACTTTTCTCCGTCAAGTTTCTCGAGCTGAGCACGAGTCAATTCAAAGCTCGGCGACGGCCGCTCAACTGGAGGGACTTCGGGTGGGTTCGGACTTATACTGTCGACGTGTATTTGTCGGCTAGGACGGTACTCGCTTTTTCTTCGATGGCAAATCTCCGGGAGATATCATCAAGTTGAATGAGATGGGAGACGACTCCATACCGAGCGACGGCCTTTTATATGTGTTGAAAAACATTGGAGAGAAGTAATGAGAGTAATGATTACATCTAAATGGTTTGAGGGGGTTCATTTAGGCTCAGTGATGAGGAGGCAGCTGAGCTCGGTCGGGAGATCCGTCAGCAGGAACAGCAGCAGGCTAAGTTGGAGCAGTCTACGGCGAAACGAAATTCAGCGATGCAAGGCAGCGTTCATTTCAAAGATGTCCTCAAGGCTCTCGGTGTGGCACCTAAGGCGCCGGCCAAGGCCGCTGAATCAGCTGCAGTATAACATTGATAGAATCATTCATTTTCTGGATAGTCGAGTATTGGTTGAAAGTGTATGGGGTGGGAATCGAACCGGGGACCTCCAGTTACATGA